AAAAAAAAAAAAAAACTTAATCTTGTTATAGTTGTTTTGATAATGCGTTGCGTTTCAGACTAGAAAAGCGTGATTGACCATTCCTTACTTATTACATCTTATCATACCATGGCTGAAAGATAGTTTTCATTTAGTTATTCAATTCCTTTAGTAGATGCGGCATATGAAAACTTACATTAGTAACAGTTAAAATGGACATTTATACGCGCGAATACTCGCCCAGCAAACCGGCTAGCTCACTTTCCAATCATACGTTTTTTAGTTTTATGATTTTATGACAAATATCTTTCACTTGTTGAGAGAATTCGTCACGTCTTCCATTCCTAAGACTTTAATAAAGCCTATTCATTCAATTTTTGAAAAAATTTTAAATATTAAAAAAAAACCCATTTTACTTCTTATTTGACGATCTTATTTTATCCGCGGTCAGAATTGAAATGACCGATTGAATGAAAGAGAGAAAGAAATGCATGTCTGCAAAATTTCTGATAATTTGCAGAAACCGTTATCAGCTTTCATTGCATATGTGAAAACAAATAGTTATTAACAAAAAAAAATAGCAGAATTGAAAAGCCTTTATTTAATACAATAAAACGATATCAAGAATATTCCGATTTTATTCGAACATAAAACATGAACCTTACGGGAAAGCTTGAATATAACTCACTGTCAGTTTTATATCAGCGAGCACATTTCAATACATTTTTGAGATAAATTGTCGCGCTTCATTTAATAGTAACGTGAAGCGTCTTCCTTTTGATTTATTTTCTAGGTCAGGACGTATACATTCAGAGATAAAAAGAGAGAGCCGGATATCCGCATACTTGTTGAAACTTATTGCGAATGGACGGATAAAACTTTCCGCTACATTTATTATCATTCAGAAAATTCATAACTTGATCCTTCGATAACATCAGTAATAAAAAATCATCAGCAAAAAATCTATCTATCTATCTATCATTGTTGGCGCTTCGATCCTTCACTGTTTTTGGTTAATATACAACTTCATTTCAGTTTCTCATATAAAAATCTAGTCTTAAAATATTGTTCGCATAAACAAAACGTATATACCGGCGTTCCCCGCTGAACACGATTAATTCGGGCCGTGGTTCTCGATACCTTTGATTTTGGTTTAAGATAACTTTTGAATATTCGTGGTTTTGAGCAAGTCGTCTTTAAGACTGTTAATATGTTCCTTAAGAGAGAGGATTTCTATTTGATGGTGTGTGTGGGAAAGGGACCGTCTTAAAGGATACCTTGAAATAATTTAAACCAATGCAAAGGGTGTTGTATCGACACTACATCTCACGTTGTAAAATTTTTATACCCATCACCTAAGCGCAGCAGAATATGGAGTTGTGCTTATGCCTTTTCATAATCATTTGCTTTGTTTTTTGTTTTTAAATATTATTACTGCAGCGGTATGCACGTTTTTAACAGAAGTAACTATCAAAAAACCATTGCACTCCCAACTGCGACATCGTGTTGCATTTGAGCTAGAGGTGCGATAAATGCGTATTTTTTGCACAAAAGCAAAAAAATTACTACTGCAAGATATCCCGTGGAGAACATTTGAACGATGTTGTATTGCACGAATGAAGTTAAGATCCAAGCAATATATTGAAAAAAAAAATTGGTTCAAATCGCAATCAGAAGCGTATTTTATTCATGTTTACTTTCGAAAACACAAAATGGATAACCCCGGGCAACATGTCCGTCATTTCAATAGCTCCAGTGGTGGCACAAAACTAACGAGATCTCGGCAACTCGAGTATGTAGTTATATGCATACTTGCAAAATAATCGCTTTTTTCACTTCCTTAAGTTTTAGTACAGAAACCAAAAAAAAGGGCATCGAAAAAAAAAGTAATCGAAACGAATTAAAAATCATTCGGAAAGTTTGAAAATCAAATTTGTGTTTACAATTTTTAAAACTTTGTTACCTTAAAATTTGTTAAAACAACAACCCAAAAATATTCTTTTATGATAAAAATGCAAGAACAATATGTTTTGAGAGAGATAAACGATTTCGATACAGAGCACAGTCCATCGATGCTTCGATATAGATCTTTATCGTATCCAGACCTAAACAGCAATCAGCCAAGAACTAATTCAAGACCCTTTGCTGCACCGAGGCCATTTCCCGCATCTTATCAATATCGTGAAAGTCGTCCACGCACCGTATCACCGCCGTGGCCGATTTTTAAACCAGAATGCGGCCCAGTACCAATACCAATCACATGCCCAACTTGCCATGCGTACTCACATACACGAATCAAGAGATCACCAACAATTAAAACACATTTGATGTCGTTACTTTTATGTACTTTATGGTAAGAAAATTTCATAATTCATGTAGACATTTAAAACATTGGCTTCGTTGGTCATAGGCAAAGGGGTCTAACAAGAAGAAAAAGAAACCAAAAAAAACAAGATTTTCGCTAAAATAAACTTGTCGCGATATCAAATCAAAACTTCCCCAAGCACAACTCAGCAATTTAAACTTTTTATGTTCGCAATGAGATAAGATAAGCAACTTATATCAACAAAAAAATCTACAAAATTTGCATACACCCAACACACATATGGAAGACAAAAGCGACTGAAATGAAGAATTACTTTCAATTAAGAACTCGTGTCGCTTCTTAAAGTGAAATAGCGCTCATCAGCTATCTAGAAATGATAACATCACGACTCTTATCTTTCTTTTATTTATTAGCTTATGTGACATTGTTGTTATAACTGTTGCTTGATTGGTTTTAAATGAAAGCAAATTAATTAGAGAAGCGTTTACGTTATAGAAAGTATTGAACATAAAACTTCGACTTGGAATATTTTTTCTGATAATCGGCGCACTCTTACCAGTTGAAATTTAGGAATAGAAAAACACGATTAAGTCGAAGCTTCAATAGTTATAAACCCTTCAATTTTATTAGTTGAGTAACGTTTTATATTTATTATATTTGTATGATTGTGTTGTGAAATATGATTTTTTTATAAGTAATGCATTTAAATAAGGTATGAAGATTCAACAAACTGTATGAGTGGAAGTACAGATCCATACACATCTGCTTATAAAAGGCCATCGTCGAAAGTCTGCCACCATTTTTTCCTAATTTACGAACTCAAAGATTCATAAAAAATTCGAACTTGTTCCGCTCTGGTATTGAAAGCCCGAAATGCGCCCCCGGAATGACTTATAAAAATCACACATTTCACATTGTACGCTCTCTTATCGCACATATCATAAATTAATAGATATACAGCTGAACAGGTGCGTAGCCAATGAGCTCAACAATAATATAATCATAATTTATCGGGCTCCTGATGAGTACTAAAAAAATTGACACAAAAACTAATGTTTTCGGTATTATTTTTGCTATAATTTGTTTACGACAAAGAAATAAATTCTAAGACCAAAGGTAGAATGAGAATTGGAAAGCAAAAGCACTAAGGCTATGACTAAAACTAATATAACTTCGCCTTTATTTCTTTCGAAAATCAAGCCGTCCCAAGATTTTTTAATCTATTTAATTGCAATTAATAAGACAGCGAGTCAAGATCTGCCGTTAAATAGCCTACACTACCGTGGAGTTATTCATATAACGACATTTCAAAATAAACAATTATAAGAGAAGTGCTCGAAAAAGTGGTACGATCCCAACTATCAAAGGAATTCAAAAGAGTTCGCCCCCAGGCCAAAACGCGTTAGCGTAGAGAGTTTCATCAAATATTACGACTTGTAGGTTCAAGTGGCTCACTTCATCTATCATATATATTATAAATTGCTTTACTAAAAAATTAGAGAGCTCCTTACCTGTAATTGTGTCATCTAAACCGATGTTTACATATTCCGCCTTGTTTACAAACATTGTTCCTTCGTAACCTTTAGCAGGCAACTAATTAACTAATCTTTCAACTTGAAACTTCTTCTAGACATAAAACAAGCACACATTCGTCAATTTCCACGCTAACCTAAAATACCTACTATAATATGAGCATTATGCGGTACTTAACAAATCGAATATGCTACATTATACTTGCGAGTAAATATTTTCGCTGAGATGAGGTTTTTTCACGGATAAATTGACAAAACATTTTGAAATCTTACTCACGCATTTGAGCAGAAACTGTTCTAATTCCCTTCCTACGTCACATGAATTGTGAAATTCGATTCAGCAAAAAAAAATTAATTTTTAACAAGCAAAAACTCACTAATCAGCTTCCAATACAACTTTTATTCAGAGAATTAATAAATTCTATCTTCACAATCCCAAACAAACAAATAAACTTCTTGTGAAGAAATTCGATCTAAAATTACACTCGCGCAACATCGACAACAATGACTCAAAAGAAGTGTTGATTTGTAGTTAGCGCTGCTGACGGCAAATATTTACTTTAGAACTTCCCTGCGCCCTGCTTGCTCATCAGCACCGATAATAACATTTTAGTTTTTTGCGACGATAAGAAAAACACAGTGCACACACTGTGCCTGAGTTTTAGCCGGCTGCCCGAACTTCAGTCTCTTTTAGTTTTAAAGTGCTATTCAATGTATACAGTTATTATTAAACTCTGAACACGTTTAACAGAAGTGAAAAAAAAGTACTCAATTATTTTTACATATTTCATCATTTGAAACGCGATTAACTATAATGGATAAGACGGCACAACCGCCACCATATTCTGAGACAAGACCAGGTTTTACACCTGCCTCATATTATCAAGGACCACCACCACAACAGCTAAATCCTTCACATCCACCACTTTATCCTCCAACGTTTCAACCTCAGCCCTATCAATCGTCGTCAGGACAACCGACAATTATTGTACAAACTACCGCCGCACCGACCATGGTAGTGCTTGGTAATGGTCCAACACATATGATTTGCCCGTCATGTCGTGCAGATATCGTAACTACTGTTCAACATGCACCTAATTTTAGAACACACTGTTGGGCTGCTCTCTTATGTCTGTTCGTGTAAGTTGCTATGAATAACGAATGAATCATTTTTATTATTATTACAAATACCTTATATTGAGTGGTAGTATAGGACAGATTGATAAGCAAAGGTCGAAATTTGCAAAGTGTTGTACTTTCTCTTGCTTAATTGCCAGAGATGGTCAACATCCACTCGTTTACTTAAGGCCAATTAACGAAACCACTTTTTATAGTGACATCAACTTAAATGATGTGTGAAAGCTTTAGAAATGAAAAGTAATTCTAAAAATTTCATTAAAATGAACTTTCGTTTTCTTCTTAGTTTTTAATTGAAACTTAAATTTATTTTAATCAAACAAAGAAGGTTTTTTATATTCACCTTTATTTCTTTAACTAAATTATTTTATGACTCGTTTTGACAATCAAATTTAAAAAGAATGTTAAAAACAAATTGTGATTAGAATTCAGTTAACGCTCTACTGCGTCGCTTATGACCGGTTACTTAAACAAACAGCTCTCGGTATAAATAACGTGATAAGATATCATAAATATATTATAAATATATTTTTTATTATATTGTAAAAGTGACTCATCCATAGAAATAGAAATATTCACAATCCTAAGGTAAGCAAATAAGAAATAAGAACACTATCGTCGCGGCTATGGACAAATCTTTTATACCCATCAACTTCTTGGCACAGAAATGTATAAAAACAGAATATGCAAATATTTACTCTTACAATTTGTGCGTAGTGCAGACCAGCCACTCTTCGTTGTACTGTGGATATGCTCACTGCCCAATCTAGTCCATCTTCGATAGCAATTTTCGTGCAACAACTTGCAATGGGTTGGGCGTAATTCAAAGCCGACTTCTTCATTTCTGCGACCAGGAGAATAATTTATATAAGCAGACAAGCAGGCAGATGCACATAGGAACAGCTGATTGTTTAGAAACATAGACAGACAAATCTATACTTTATGAAGTGTATAACATTTCGTTCTAGATTTTGTAAACGCTTTGATAAAACGAGTGTATTTTCACTCTTCGCTATAAAAAGATAGACGGTTTATTCGAAACTTTTGAAATCGCGGATCTACACTCAAACAAAATAGTTCTATGTTTCACTCGATAGATCTCAATTTCACTGTTTTAAATTTTGAGTGAATATATATCGAATTGGGCCTGGTCAGCAAAGAAGCTTAATTATTTGCGAAATGACAAAATAACAAAATACACCAACAGAGAGTAGCAGTAAATGAATTTGATAATTTGCTAACTTTTTCTCTCGTAACTCAGTCAAGATAAGTTCGAAATGTTTCGAAATCTTTTGCACGTAAATAGAAATAAAAATATAATATATTTGATATTGATTGAAGTACTTTTGGAGCTCAATGAATTAACTTTAAAAAACTCGTGCTGGAAATATATCACATTTTCTTTAATAACATGTTTATCTTCTGCACATAGTGATGTCAGATCTGTCGAAGCACGAAACGGGATCTAACATGTTCCCTGCAGTGTTGTGATAACAAATTAGTACACGGTGATTGGTAAGCAATAACTGGTGTGGTAAAGTAAAGTTTTTAATTTTTTTTAAATTTGTTCAACTCTCTCTGGTATGTGATGGTTCTTTTGGGCAATACCTTTCTGCTCATATCTTCTTTCTCTCCATTTTTGAAAAGTTTTGCCCTTTTGCTATAAGTGCCTTATGTCTCTAAGCCCTTAGCAACTAGTCCATAGTTTTTCGAACGTAAACAAACGAAATCGTAAAAAAAATTGGAAACCAAAGAATAGAGGTTGACTTTGGATAAACAGAAACGGGGACAGGTGTAAATCGATTACGCTGCAACCTTATAGAAACTCCGATGAATATAAATATTTAACAAATCGAACTTAGCCCCGCTAAAAGAGCATGGCATAGAATTAAACACGTTTTATATCATTAAAACAATTTTACGCGATAAGATACTAATTATTGCAAAGCAATTAGAGTCTTATATATTTATTCTCTCTTCTCGGATAACCACAACTTAATTTGAAGTTTAAGTAGACGAGTCTACAAGATTTCTCTACGACTTTCCAACTGATATGTTAGTGCATGGCCTTACATTACAGAAAAATTTGATATTTGTCGACCAGAATGGTCTGACGTTGCTTTGTGAATTTTTTGCTTTAAATTTTATTCAAAATTCTCATTTTCAGCTTACTGCCGTGTGTTTTCTTGCCGTACTGTTTAAACACTTGTCGCAATACACAACATTATTGTCCTCATTGCAAGACTTATATTGGAACGTATAACTATTGACTCGGGAATAAAGGTTTTTAAGGTGCAAAAACAAAAATATGTTCTGGCTTTTACTCAAGTTTAAAAGCATTTCGAATTATTGAGTTTTTGTGTTTTACATTACTTCTGCTCTGCTTATTGTTCTAATTAGTTACGTTGTTTAATTATTTGTTTTTTTTTTTTTTAATATTATTATTGTTATTATTTTATTATTGTTTATTTTTGATAACGAAATTTTCAATATTTTTCTATTTTAATTGCAGATGTTGGCCTTGTGTATGCCTTCCGTACTGCATGGATTCATGCCAGAGCGCTCATCACATTTGCCCGAATTGTAATGCCCAGATTGGAATATATGACTATTAAATGTTAAAAATGTGTTAAAAACTCTGTTTCTACCCCTCTTTCCCTTTCCATCTGGCCGAGAGAAGTGTTTCCAGTTTTCTTTATTGAATTCAAACGCAGACTTGCCTATAATTTAATGACTTAAGCTATGTGTTCGAGGAATTCAATTAATTGAATTAAGTAATTTAATAAAGTACAAATGAAAGATTAATTATGAAACGTTTATGTTTACTTGCTTTCCTTTACCGCATTACAATTTGAAACACGCCCGATTTCATAATATCCAAGTTTATCAATTCGCCCATATGAGTGGCCTGCCGAATAGTTAGTGAGAAGAGCATTTAACCAATCAATTCGAGGTACAAACGTCGCTTCTCGCCTATAGAGCTTGTATTTTCTTCCATCCTGATGCATCGAACGCAACAAAACGAACTACAAGCTGGAGTATGTGGTCACAGGCTGAAATTGTTCTCAGTCTTACAAGCTTTCAAACCTTTGCAACGTTCTTTAGGAATAAATTAAGCTTATTTATTCAACTATCAATCGGTTCACGTGCAGGAAGAGATTTAACACCTTCTAAGCTGGTTTTTTTGTTGTTAAAAGCCATTAACTGAACTGAGTTTCCCCAGCCTACTCGAGTTTTAAATCGTCATAATATGTCCATCAGAAAACGAAGCCTTGACCGCAATGGTGCTCTTCCTTACGATGTGAATATTGCGAATATACTGCTCCCGGAGTGCAACGAAATTACGAAGAGAATCGCTTCCTACCACAGCAGAAGTGTTTCCCCAATCATTTTTGCTAAAATTGCCGCTAATCGCAGTAACCCCAGCCACTTGCACACTTCTTCCTGTCTACATCGCAAAGCGCATGCCACGCATCGCCTCTTTCGACCTTGAAATTCTTTCCATTAAAAAAATCAAGAAGAAAGATGCGCTTTATCACACTCTCCAAAAACACGAGTCCTTCAAGTAAACAGCTAAACATAATCACCGATCACCGTTTACCTCCAGGAGAAGATTTGCCTTACGAGCCTACATCAACGTGGACTTTCGGTCCGCCTGAGCTAGCTTCCACTCATACGTTTACCGATAAGAGCATATGTAAGCGAATTCGAAGCCATAAAAGTCGCATCTTTTAAGGGTGCAATTTTGGGAGAAACTGAAGGCAATAGAGTGACGTAACCTCAAAAGACAAAAATCGAATACAGATTGTCACTGTGAGGAGAGCTTGTTGTATCTTGCACTTGGAAAAGCGTCGACTTTGTAAATATTTTTTGCATGCACAGCAGAATGAATTCATTACATTAACTCGTATTTCCATAATGGATTGATTTAATTTGCGATAAAAGAAATTATATGCCTAAGCTACGTTTTGCGCACGCAAGTTAATTAAATTGACTTCAAGCACAATCCCGTAATGAAATTCAGAAAAATGTCGCTCGCATGTAATGCCTTTTATTTATATTTTGAAATTTGAAAAAATGTAAACTTTTCTTATATAATAATACATGTATACTTAACGGCAATAAAAATCACAAGGACACACAGCGAATGAAAGAACATATATTTAAACATATATTTATTTATCTGTAACTAAGTGGAACGGATTACACATATTTAACAACACATTTTCCTCATTCCCTATCCTTGAATCGGTGCAATATCTATAATCTATTAGGTTGTAGAGACCAAGTTTGCGTCGTGTTTAGCTTCTACATGTTAAATTAAGAATATCCTATATATACATGTAGGTGGTGCAGTACTGATAAAAAAAAATTTATAAAGTTAACAAAACATTTTTTTGTTCGTTCAGTTAAGGCTTTTCTCTTATTATTTTAATTTTCCCAGGCGTAAAATTCAATAATTTATGCTTCGCTTTAAAAAAAAG